GCTGCATTTGTTACTGTACAGGCACTTCAAAGAGGCAGCCACGCGTGCTGATTTTGCAGATAGGGTGAGAGGTTTCCTGATGAAGCTCTTTGTAGGCACTTTCTGGCTTACATGCAAAATGCTTTAGGTACCCCCTCCTTAAGCCCTGATTTGTTGGTTATGCTTTCCCTTTGTTCACATCACCCTGCGGCCTTTGCTTGTCAACCCTGTCTGTGGTTCTCTCACATAGCTGCTGGTAACTCTCTCCCCGCCGTGGTTCCTAGTTCAAAGCTATCCTCACGAGGTTGGCGAGCCTGTTGGCCAATACACTTTTGCCCCACTTAGGTGGATCCTGTCTCTTCCAAGCAGATGTTGATCCGCAAATGGGGTCCCATGGTCATAGAAACTAAAACCCTGTTGCCAGCATCAGTTGTGCAACCAATTGTTGACATGCAGTATCCCTCACTGGCGGGATAGAGGAGAAAGCTACCTGGGCCCCTGTATTCCTGACCACTGCCCCTAGAACTCTGTAGTCATGTTTGATACTTTCCAGATTGCTCTTGGCGGTATCATTGGTGCCCACGTGGGAGAGCAGTGGGAGTAATTAGAGGGCTGGATGAGCTTCTGCAGTTTCTCTACACCATCTCAGACGTGAGCCCCCGGCAAGTAGCAAACCTCTCTAGATGACAGATCAGGTTGGCAGATGGGTGCCTCTGTCCCCTGCAGCAGAAGACTCACCCACTACTATAATTGCCACTTCCTCTGAGTGCTCCTGCTTGGCTCAGGGTCCATTGGCCCAGATGCTTCACTTGAAAGTACACCCAGTTCCTTTTCACCTTTGAGGGCAGTGAACCTGCTCCACAGCTGCAAGCCTTCAGGAGGAGTAGGGAGTCTTCCCCCTGGGGTCAGAAGGCACCAGCTTTCCAGCCTTTGCCTTCCTCTGAGTTGCAATTTACTGTATCACTAGGCACAGCCTCTGCTTTGTCTACTGCACCTGGGAGTTGGGGCTCTTGAAACTGTAGGGTATCCAAGAAGGTCCTGCCTCTCTCGTCCTCTCTGATGTTGCACAGCCTGCTGATTTCCTCCTGCTACTGCTTCACTTGGTGACAAAGCTCTTCAACAGCAGCACACCTCCCGCAGTGAAGAAAGTAAGTCTGCCCCCTCCTCAGGGAGAGGCCCCAGGCCCTCCCTGCTGCCTGAGGCTTGCAAAGCTGTGTCCTCCATTGGATGCTGTGTCTGGCGGGACATGCCCTGTGATGCATCACCACTGGAACTGAGGACGTGTATGCTGGCCTGAACTGAGATGAGGATCCCTTCTTTGCTCCCTTTTGCACAAGCTGTTGTGCATGCTGCTGCATCCGTTGACTGCCTCTGTTAGCTGCGCTCATACTATAGGGAACTACAGTTTGATAGGAGAAAATGGGATAATCCTTTCTCTCTCTCATCGGTCATACCATGATGTTTTTGCTACAGATGCATTGAATAACGGTGGCACGGATTCCTGTTATTGTTTTTATCCCCTCATCCCTCTACAGTCTAGTACATGGATGTGCTACAGTTTGCTACGTGTATGTATAACTTGTTCAGCAAAATTCTTCTGTCTGTTCCACATTGAAAGGAATTGCCCAAAACCAAAAATGATATGAGAATATCACCTAGAGAAATATTGTCTCTGTTCCCACTCCGACAGAAAGAAGTGTTTTTAAAAGAGTGCTGTAACAATTACAGTAGTGGTGCTACTTAGCAATTGCTTGTCTTTGTTCCTTTTTTTAAAAAAGGCCTGTTATAATTGCTCTTAGTGTATTTTTGGGGGAAGTTTTTCCTTGTTAAACGTTGTGTAGGCCTGTAAGGACAAAGGATATGGAGCTTTACCAAATTCTGTGATGAGCATTTCAACAGGTAGTCCAAGAGGTCAGAAAGTCTTGATTATGATGTGATAAAAAGTTTTCAGACTTACGACGGGAGAAGAGACAAGAAGTTGATTTGCTAACATGGTGTATTTATGTCTTGCTCTACCTGGCTCCTAGGAGACATGCCTTCCCTATGTGACTTTGTCTTTGTGGCTTTAACCAGAACAGAGCCTGGTAGTAAAGCTACTATTAATTAAAAACTGTGCAGCTTCATTTAAGTGATGTCAGAGTTAGGTATGCCTACCAATAAAACTGTAGTAGACAACGTGTTTGGATTTTTGAAGGCTGAGTAAGTTGGGTACTTGCTGTAGCTGAGATTATGATTTCTTTCCTGTGAATATGCGTGCTATTGGAATCCATCTGATCAACAGACTACAAGCTTAGACTTTTGTTTTTCTGCCTTCAGACAACTTTCAAGAAAATCATTTCATTTAACAAGATACTTTACTTTGAAGGAAATTATTTTATATTCCTTGAGCCATGTGTTTATTGCTTATTAAAAGGCAACCTATTTAAAAACTTGAAATGCACTCCATTTTCATGGGTAAAGCTTTCTCCTATAACACTGCCAGCATCATTAAGCTCCGTGAAAATCCTTCTAGTTAGAATAAGTCTTTGAAAGAACTGAAAATAAATGCGGTAGAGATTTTGGTTAGTGCATGAGGTAGCGTGTGAACGTGTCTATAAACCATTCTGTTATATTCTATTGGGAAAACGTATTTTGGGTTGTGGTTGATGTCTTCTCACGGGTTTTTATATAGATGCTGGGAAAATACTTGTGCTATTAAATAAAAGCCTGCTTCAGAGTTGCTCCTTCTAGGACTATAATTTATACCCCCAAGCACCAGGGGAGTTGCCTACTGGAATCCCTTTTATCTGTTATCATCCCTGATGACTTAGAGGGGAAGAGCCCACTGATTGTGCCTGGGCTGATCGCAGCAGAGTAAGAAACTGCTGTGCTACTGGTTCCAGTTACTTTTGCTTGCTCCTCCCTCCCAAATGCACGTGAGCTTCTTCTGTCAAGAAGCTGCAGCTACCTAAGACAGCTGCAGCTAAAATTGGTGCATTAAGAATTTGATATGGGAAATAGGGAAAATAGTGTAGGATCCTTCAAGTGATGGAGTAGAGTATTCTCCTAGTTTTCCTCTCGTCACAACTACCTGGTTTGCAGAATAAGGGGAAACTAAGCAGGGCACTAGGGAACTTTTATTGGGTTTTGCAGGGAAGAAATGTAAGGAGGGGGTAGCACAGGAACTGAAGGCGAGATGGAAATATGCCAAGGCACAAGAAACTTTACTCTTTCCTCCAGTTCATTCTTATACTGAAGAGGAAGGAGAGGAGCAGAGGGGTGCACTGGGAGTGAAGGAAGAGTGGTAAAAAGTACAGGTAGGGACACCAAGATGACTGCTTGCGTATGTACAGGTTTTTCAAAGAAGGCTCCTAAGAGCATACTCACCTTGCTCCTGTGGTGATGTCAGGCCTGCCAACTCCCAACGTGTACTTGGTTAAAATCCGATAGAGATATAGCTGCAGCACACAGATCTCTATTAAAACAGCTTCAGAAAAGAATGTATTAATATCTACATCACACAGTTCTCTAGAAACTCATGTGCTCAAACTTTCAGTGTCTTCCACAATTTTTACTTGGGGTGGATTTTAGAGCAAAGTTAATGTTGGCTTAGTCTCTACATAATTTTCATCATGTGGAAAAAGAAGTAATTTTTCTCTTCGGAGATCAGACTTTTTAACATACTTTTTCCTATTTTGTGAAGTAGCTGTGCTGGCTTTCCATCGCAGCCACCAGCCATCAGGGTGCTAGAGTGAAGGATGCTCAGTGGTAGGGAGAAAGCAGTAGGAAGTATGTGCAGTAGCGTGAAGAATGCTCAGTATACTTCAGTGCAAGGCATGGAAAGATTACAGACAGAAAGCTGTGAAACCAAGTTTGACCCAGGCTGTTGTATGCTACTGTAGATACTGGCAAACAGTGTACACAATTTTGAGCTAAGGATATTTGGCTTATATTATAATTTATTTTGAAGGTTATTTTTATTAGGTGTCTTCTCCAGCATTTCTTCTTGGCCTGAAACTGCGTTTCTGCCAAGTTAGTTCTCCCTGTTGTGTGCTGTGAACATTTAAAGCTTTGTTCCCTTCCTTTCTGTTACCAAGGAACTGACTGTTTTTCTGAATGACTCTTTTCCTTTTTAATACTTTAAAAGGACATACTTGCTTACAAACCTGACAAATTTGTAGTGCTGGAGAACTCAACTGTATGAGTATTTGAAGTTGTGCAGTGTGAACTGTATCTTGGCTCAGTAACGTAAAATAATTAGAGAAACTGATTTTAATTTAAATACCATTGGGGCTTCTGATTATTGTTCTGTGCTTCCAGCAATCTCATGAGTCTCATGAATTCATGCTAAGAGTTGTAAGAATTGTTAGATGTTCTTTTGTTTTGCTCAGATGGGTTGAGCAGAACCCTGGGAAAACAAGCATTTTGTCAGGCTCTGAAAAAAAGCAAGATGGCGTCAGAGGATATTTGATTTTTGAATTTAGCCGCTGGATGCTCCTATTACGCTTTATTAGGCTGCCTGATTTACACACATTTGCCCAATTAGTGTGATGTGGTGCATACCTGCCTACCTTTTCACTCTGTATGCAGCTGCTTTTTTTTCTTTGTTTTAAAGAATTTTATTTTTAAAGTATCTTTAATACCTTTTACACACTTCAAAGCGTTTTAGCAGAACAACTAAAGTTCTTAAAACTTGTGTCCCACAAACAACCTCATCCGTGTAACCTCTAGTACCTTGAATAGCTCCCTTGAAATGGCAGGATTAGCTCAGAGTAAGCAGTCCTTATCTGCTTCAGGTTGGTCCTAAGAGTTGTAAAATATATACAAAACCTTTTTTCCTGTATGAATTTTATATCAGTTAGCTGTTCCCCTTGGCCCAAGGATGACCCCTGAAGTCAGATGTTATTCCAGTATGTCAGTGCTTACTCTAGCAAATTAATGAAAGCATGTAGAATAATAATAATGTAGAGCTGCTGATTAACCAGAACACTAGTGAAGACTTAAGGTGTCTGTATAACGGAGAACACTTAATGTTTTCATAGGTTAGACGAGTACCAGGTTCCAGTGGTCACCTCCATAAAACAGAAGATGGGGACTGGGAATGGAGTGATGATGAAATGGATGAAAAGAGTGAGGAAGGCAAAGCTGCTTTTTCTCAGGAAAAGGTAACTTCTGTTTGTGCTGAGACAATTACGCTCTACAAGATAGTCTGTCTTAATGTTAATTGTTAGTATTTGTGGATCTTTGGTGTGTAAAGCTGCATAGCTCATATCTTAATACGTTTGTTTTCCAGTCACGAAGAGTAAAAGAAGAGGAGAACGCAGAGGTAAACATTTCTTTATCAGTGTTTTGCCTTCAAGTGTTTCTGTAAGAGGATTTCTGTTTTAATTCCTCTTGTAACACGTGTGAATTAAGATGAAAGCGTTGTTGTCTTGGTCCTGCAGCCTTGTATGGCAAGTACATGTGGGGATAGTTGGGCCTGCAGCAATTGACTTGAGCACACGCTGGATAAAATGGATAGGAAATTCAAAGTGATGTTATGTTCGTGCCCGGGAGAATTGGTTAACATAAGGTAATTTGGCCGTTTTTAATGAATCTTCTTGACTGGATCACACTAATTGCAGTCTTTCTGTCAGACTAATGATGGCTGTTTCGGATTAGCCAAAAGACCTCCAAACAATTTTTCATTCTTAGGATTTGTATCACGACATGTAGCTGGTAATTAAAATGCTTCATATCATATGCAGTAAAATGGTTCAATACTATGGCATGGCAGATTAATTCAAAGAAATAAAATATTATATTGACTTTCATGGCCTTATGCTGACAGTCTAGGAAGCATTGCTGCTATAAATAATGACTTGATAAGATTCCTGGTTTACAGCCAAGGTGCTATTATTTTAAAATGCTCACTGGGTGCATGACACTTGACACTTCACCTGCAATTTTAGATTCTCTGATTTTCATTGATATTGTACAATCTTCCAAAATAATAACAATTTCCTGCTG